AATAATAATTTGCAATTCACCAAGTTACTAAATCACTTATGAAACCACTTAGCACTATTTAAAGAAAACTGTTTTTGGAAATGCTGAATTGATAGCAAGGTGATCTGAGTGTCTCCCGCCATGGAACGCTTTCTATGTGCAAAACGTGCTTATGTTTGTATGTTTATTACAAAAAATGGCGCAATAATAATTAATTGTCAATTTCGTCATTAAATACTACACCAAATACAAAATAAATAGCACCATTAAATTTCTTGTAAAAAACTGGTTATTATGAAGTTATTTTAAAATTTGTAAGTTCAACCGTTTGGTTTCCTATAGAGGACAAAATAAACAAACTTCTTCTTTTATATATATAGATAATACTAGACTGCCACTTATGAACTATCATGAGTTAAGCATAAAGAAACTTTGCCCATCCCTGCTAACCCCTGGATTGAACAAATCAGAGGTGGTTTGCTTTTCAAAATAGGGAACGTGGTTCACCTATTGCACTGTCTCCAGAGCATCATTCCTTAGGACTCCCTAACAGTGTTCCTTCTCAATTCATGTGCAGAATGAATTTTTTTTCATGTGCACCAGTATTAAGGCAATGTGCAGATGTGTGCAACCAGTTTTTTTTTAAGGGACAGAGGGTATTTTAAGACCATCGACCCTAAGGAATCATTAGGCTGCTTTGTAACACCACCAGTTGGTTATTTGGACTTTAGGCCAGGGCCATTAAGGCCATCAACATGTTGAATTGGCGCCCTAATTCCGAGTTTGGTTTGTTGCATTCTGTGCTTCTTCAGGTTGGGGAGAAAACTTGTCCAGTTGGGTGTTGCTACCCTTCCCTTCATAATTCCGCTTCAGATGCAATTTTCTGTGACTTTCAGGTTGGGTTTCCATCATATCATATTCCTATTATACAATTATGTCATAATGCAGTCCCCATGCCCTAGCCACTACACCTTGGATTTAGCTTTGCATCTACAGCCCTATAATTCCCATGATGATATGTGGAACCTCGTCTGTGTGGTTGGGACCTGGACGAATCTTGTGATAGTAAACAATTTTGTCTCTGTAACCAGTTGGCCTTTACCACCCACATTGAGATTGCACTTTCTCTGGGTGAAGAACATACCAATTCCAGAAATAGTGCAGCCCCCCACTAGTGTGTTTCATTATATCTCAATTTTGCACATCTGTTTTTTCTATGCAAATGCTTTCTGTGTGGATCTTGCCCTCTCTGGCCCCTCCACCTTGTCAATGTGGGATTTTAACTAAAAGTGTGAGGAGAGTTGTGTTTCATAAATCTACATTTTCCTATACTGAAAATATATTTCCGATAATACCTCCTCTCACACTATCCCACCCTTCCTCCCCACAATAATGGGGAGCTTATATACAGATCGCGTATTGAGGGCACATTGACATAGGTGGAGATAGTCACAAGATTAAAATAGCTATGGGCAGTAGTGGGGTACAAAGACTGGAGCAAGTGAGGTAGAATTCATACCAATGCTTAGATGGGCAAAGAAGAGAATCTTTCGTCAGGATAAAGCTAAAGGTTATGAAGAGGTAAGTATTATTGGAAATACATTTTTAGTATAGGAAAATGTAAACATTTGCTTTCATGTAAGATTATTTTGTTTTATGATGTCATATTCATTCATCTTTTAATAGTACTTGCGTGACATATTTAGGTCGACTGCTCTCAGTTACATAATTGATTCACCTTGAAATATATGTACATGCAACATACACACTTCATAGACGACCAGTACTGAAAATTTATTTGGGATTAATCTTGGGGTTTCTCTGATATTTACACATTTGAAATTTTGGGGATAACAGAAAGAGAAACCTCTTGTACAAGTGAAAATGTATTTGATTCTCTCTTTTTTCTTCTTCTTTTTTTCAATTTTTATCCTTGACCAGAAGCAATATACAACTGAAGAAGTAAACCAGTATTTGTCCTAAACCTCTGTGAAAACATGCTATCCTGTCATCAGTGACACAGTAACTACAAAAGTAAGAAGATTAATAAAAACCCATCATGTTAATAAAGACACTGGGAAAATCCCTCGAAGAATACCTGGTCTTCTCTGCATTTAACTGCAAAAATTATGAGAAAAAAAAATTTACAGCCAGAAACATAATCTATGAACTAGAATGAAAAGTTTACAGAGAAATGTATATCAGTGAAACAGAATGTCTCATACATACCCACATCAGTGAACACATTAGTGCCCTAAACAATCAGTAATGAACAAAAAGGCTGAACATTATGTAAATAACCATGATTCTCCACCAGCAAATGAACCTTGCCCTCTCAACATCAAAATTCTAGTAAAGACAAATGAATTAAAAGAAAGAAAATACAACAAAACTGCTCTCATTGGAGAAAAAACAATGTAAAATCAATGGGACAAAAGGATGGTGTATATAATCACCTTTCTTCCACCAAAGATAACATTTACAACTAGCTTATACTAATTTATATGTCAATGTGTAAAATTTAAAGTTTTAACACAAGTTTATTTTTAGTAAGATATACTATGTAGTTTATTTATTGTTACTTTCCTTAACAGTATTGATTATACAATTAATATATTGAATTTAAGTACTTTTTATTTATTATTATACTTTTATTATAAAGATTTTATTGCATTGTCAGGTTAAAACATGTATTTAGGACTAACTAAATCTAAACTGACTAAATCTCACGAGATATTATTGAGATTACAGCCAAAAATATTGTTAACTGCGAAGGTATCCAACTGATGAACCATTCTAATCTTTATAGAAATATAAGTATGTTTAATTAGTAACTTTTCAGGTTTTTAACATGAGCACTCATATTTGTATTAAATAATTTATTTGAATTATCACCACGTTTTTTAGTTTTTAATGCACAAGCTTTAGGCTCGATTATGTAAACCATCTACAGGTGCATACCCGTAGAAGGCTTAGGTAATTGAGCCGAAAGCTTGTGCATTAAAAAAACTAAAAAGAGTGTGGTGATAGTCCAAATAAATTACTTAATACAAATATGTTTAATTAGCTTTACCAATGGTCAAGTTTATTTTTAGTTTTGCTCTGAGTATACAGCTTACTCTGATTTGAAATTATTATTTTAAACAATACAAATTGTAAAATGTGCTGCACAACAATTGACAACAAACTTGCATGTTCAAAAGACCTTACACTAGAATTAAAAATTTAATTATAAATTCAAAAATCTCTATGTGTTCCTGTACCACAGCCACTTTATAAAGGGTTATAAGTGAAACATTGAGAAATAGCTTTGTTTCTTCTGAAGTCAAAGGTCATCCAGTTACTCAAGCATAATATAATCAAACAGGATCTTATTTAGGCATTTCATGAATAATAGTGGTTTGAATTTTAATCTGTAAGTATTTTTTATGACAAACTTCACTCTTGAATTTACCGTTGTAATGAACCAAAATGTCTAAAAATGCAAGTTGATATTCTTCTGTGTAATGAAGTTTTTTTATTATGATATTGTGAAATTTAAGTCTTATTCTGGTTTTTAAAAATAAAAGTTGAAAACAGTATTATCTACATACTTTTAGTAATATAAAGATTTGAAAGACATTATAATTTTTTTCTAGCCAGTATTTTTATTAATAAGTTACACCATCAGTTTCATCATAAATAATGTTATATTGTGTAGAAAATTACATTCCTCAATAGCCAAATTTACGAGTTTTAAAACAGCATTAGAGAAATATTTATTATTTGAGCTGATTAGATAAGTACTTGTATGTTTTTGTTTTCAAAAGAAATATTATTGGAGAATGACTACATCAAAATTAGCAAATAAACCTTACTATCAAACTTTAGATCTTGAAAATTAAAAGTTATCTTTCAGACTATATTTATTATTGTTAAAGTTTCCTGAAGAAAATAATCTATTAAAGTCCTGTTAAAGAGTGTTTGCATTTGCTGATATTTCAAAGTACAGGTCTAAGTCAACATCCTTCTGTTGGCATATCTAAGTATTCTGTTTAGGTTAGTTAATAATACATTTTCTATAGTTTCAATGGGCTGTAAGTAGCTTAATGGGTAGCATGAAAAAAGAGGGGTGGAAGGTTCAAAATGTGATGCTGCTGAACACACTTTGTGCCTTCACTTGTGAGCACATTGTAAAAGTGACAGTCGATCTTATTATTTGGTTCAAAGAGCATTGTGATGACAGGTGCAGCTGATATAGTTGTGCACTGAAATTATTTTAAGTATTATAAACATATAAGGCCAATGATGAATACAATTTTGTTAGCGTGTGTTACTACAAACATCAATGTACATGCACTAACTGTATGTATGTTGGGGTGGGGGTTAAGGCACTTAAGGAAAAAAATCATATCAGAAATAAAGTATTTCATAGTTAAAAGTGCAAAATTTAAAACATACTAACCAATGGTTTCTTTACATGCACCTTTTAATTTGATTTTCAATAAGTTATAATAGTCTGTAAAGAATCTAAGCACTAGTAAATACTCAGATCCCATATTACAGCACGTACTGTGTATGGAAGTGTGTGCTGAAAAGACTTATTTGGCATACAGTATTTGTTTTAAAACATATAAAACAGCCAATTATCACAAAAAATATTTTTGAGTGACAAGATTAAATGTATACAAAGCAACTTACATATTGAAATTTCTGACTCTCATTTCATTATTACATGTAAGGTGGCACCTTGAACACAGTTGTGTGGGAACTGCAATGTAGGGTGTACAAAAAATCACATGTTGTTTTTCATATTCTTAAAAGTTTGTTGAACTCTTGGATTTAGTATTCTGTACTTTCCACCTTCAGATAAATAATCAGACAGAAAAAGTAGATATTAGTTGTTAACTATAGTGATATGATTATAATGAAATAAACAAGAATACTTCAAAATATTATTTGCTTACTAATGTTTTCATTCATAATAATAATATGTATCTTTGTTGGAAATTGATGAGTTAGTTGTATTATTTTTTTATCAGGAAATGGCAGACAAACTGTTGAATGGAGATATACCTGTAGAAGAATTCATTGAAAAGTATCTGGAGAAGCGAAAAATTGCACATTTACGCAAAGTAAAAGCAGAGAAGATGGCTGAGCTTCTTGCACAGAAGAGAAACCAGAGCATAAGTATGTTTTCTTCTAGTCATTTTCAAGCAGGGAATAGGCCTAGCAGACTTCCACCTGCTCCACCTTTTTATCCAAATCCACCTATGGGACAGCCATTGTATGGTCCAGGAGTTCTGACACCACCTTCATATGGAATATCTCCTGTAATGAGGATGCCTATGCCATCGTACAGATAGTCATGTTATCTACTAGTTATCAAGAATCTGTTAAAACCCAACTTTTCTTTTCTATCCAAGAAGTTTGAAACAAAGAAATATTTAAATATCTTGTGTTTTTTTTTTTAATTAACTGTTGAGTGCAGACATTCACAGAATTTAATTTAAAGACTGTCAGAGTAGTGTTGTGTTTTTTTCAAGATTTAAGGAGATGAAACGTATTACATGTATATATATTTTATCATATGTTCAATAAAATGAAAAATACCAATCAAGAATCTAGTAAATGTATATAAATTTAGGGAATGTTGGGGCCTTAAGTTAACAAATTATTGGTTTTTGGGAAATAAAATTGTGCATTTATGCTAACTTATACAAGGTTGAGCAAAAGTCAACAAATATTAAAGTATAATAGTTTAGTATCTTATTTTCCCAAGTCAAGACAAATGCTCAAAATTGGTACTGACTTCAACAGTGCAATGTGCCAGATAATGTCTAAGTCCTCCTATGCTGTTAACAAGATTTTGGTTGTAGATTCACAAAATGGACTAAGGAAGCCTGTGTGGAGGAATAGTGAAGTCTCCATATTTTAAGTATTATTGGGAGAAATAATTAAGCAGTTATAATTTTTTTTTAAATAAATAAAGTTTGAGTGCATTCCAAAATTAAACAATACTACTCAGCATTGGAATTACTATGATGTCACTGTTGGTTCAATGATGACCATAAACCTGGAATGCTTTGTTGACTATGTTGGCATTTCTAAGATGGATGTTAGGCAAAAGAAAAGAATTTTCAGAAGAACTGGAACTAACACAATAGTGGGAGATAATGCAATAAAATAAAGTCAGTGTAAAAACACAACATTGAAATTATAACAAATTTATTTTAACTAGTGATGTTTTGAGCAACTGCTCTTTATAGGGCATAATTTAATTTTCATATTAAGCTTGAGATTGAGCAGTTGCTGAAAACATTGATAGATATAATAAATTTGCTTCTGTTTAAACATTGTTTTGTTTTTTTCAATGAATTTATTTTGAAAAAAAAAATAAAGTTGCTGCATGTACATTTACTGTAAACTTTAACTTATCACAAGGGTAACATTCCTCATAGAAGATGCCATATTGCATTTTTCAATCTCAATGCTTCTTTGGGCTATTCAATGTGTTGAGCCAATGTTGAAACAATCCTAAAAGTCTACCCTAGAAACAGGATGCACCAATGCTGACAGCGTTGAATCTTGGAATTAACCCTTTGTAATACTCGTAGTACTGTTCATTGACTTATACCATACCCAATAAGGATGTCATGAGAATATAGAAGTACAAGATAATTTAACTATGGGTAAAAAAAAAGTATATACAATAAAATCAGTATTTCCTGGCTGTAACAAGATATAAAAAATGTTGTGACCTTTTTTTGAAAACTAGTATGAACTTAAAAACCTGTCAACCACTGGCAAAGCTTTTGGTAATGATGTGACACTGGTCATGGGATATTTTAGTTATTCTTTTTTAATTTTCGTCTTTGCATCATAGATTTTTTTCTTTTTTGTGCTATGAAAACTATATATATATATATACAATAAACATAGTAATTTTATGCAATTTTATTAAATTACTGAATTAGAATAAATAAATTTCTTTAATTAAGGGTTCCATATATTTCAAGATATGAAAAAAATTGTATGATATCAAAGTTACTTGTTTGGTTTTGTAGTGAGAAAGTAATAGTTATACTAAGTGTCTTCTTTTTGATTTACCCTAGACTAATAAATTGTTAACACATTGATCAATAATATATGTTCTTTTTTTGTCTGCTATTGATGGGAATAGCTCATGAAATAAATAAAGGTAAATTCTTAATAAAATGTTTATCTCTTTGTTATTCTGACATGACATATATATATATATATATAAATTCAAAAATATTTAAAATAGATATATACACACACACACACACACACACACAAGTAACTATATTGTAAACATGTCAAATTTAATTAAATTTTCAAGAAATCAAACAATTATATTTATTCATATTTAATCTGATGCTTTCAAAATAGTTGCAAAGTATGATTATTGAACTTCTATTAGGAATTACAGTAGTTTAAATTGTCCTTCATATGTATAATTCATGTTTTTTCATGGAATATCTATAACTTTTTAACTTCTGTACTCGGAAACTAAATACCAATATAATTCTCAGGTCAATATACCACATCCCAGAATCTGAGGTAACTTTTAGATAATGCCAAACTTTTGTAAATGTCAAACAAATACCTAAATTTGTAGTAATATCTTACCTAAGGTAATGATGGAAAATTCAATAAGACTAATTGCATACTGCTAAACATTTTGTGGATCATATAGAGATCTAAGTATTGGTAGATGAATAAATATGTTTTATTCATCAGTAATTATGTTTTATATAAGATTATTGTCAATAAAATATCCTAACTTATTTTCTATGAAAACAATACTTTTGTTAATGCATTTAGAAAAGTAACAGTCATGAAATATTACAAACACAAGACATGTAAAATATAAGTACACTCATGCATACAGAATATTTTATTACTACTTAGAATTTTACAGTGGTTAATTTTTCTTTAAAAGCCATATATACATTTGAAACTAATATTTGCATGACTGTGTTGTTTTTGTAACCTAAAGTGGACACTAATTAAAATGTAATATTTCTGAAAGCACAGCAGTTTTGAAACTGCCCAAATTACCTTTTTTAAAGGATGTAGTGGGCTTTTTTGTTGAAATAGCAATTCAAAAATGAATATTAAAAACTTCTCTACCTGTAATGTTTTTTGCTTCACTCAAGATGAAGAGAATACTATATATAATATTTTAGAGATTAAAGTGCTATTGTAAAGCTGGCAATGAATAAAATGTGATTGGACTAGATTAATAAAATACAGATACTTCATAATTCCAAGCATGTTACTCTTAAGCATGCATAAATTTTGTTTATATTTTACTTTTAATTTATGTAAGTGGCCTACTGGGCAGAGTGCTCAACTAGCAATTTGTGGGTAGTGGGATCAAAACTTGTTGCTGAACATGCCCTTTCAGCTACAGGGGCAATATAATGTAACAGTCAATCCCAATTACTTATATATTCTTCTTCATACTAAGTGATCTTTAAGGTCTCTACTAGTCTTGCCAGTGAACTTCATCTTGGACCATTACTTAAGCCTGTTCACAGTTCAGCTTTGCCTTGGATCTTATTTTGGCTTCAGTTGATATTTTCTATGTTGTTTTGGGTATTCTCCTCCCCCCTCTGGAATCCAGAACAGAGCCTTTTTTTATGATGCTGTTCTGTTTCTTAACACATGGCTTAGCCATAATCATTTCCTTCTAGAGATCTTTACCTTAATGTTTTCCTAGTTTGTCCTTTTTTATCACTTCTTTGTTTGAGATCTGTGGGGACCATCATACTCTAATAATCATCTTAAGGCATCTGTTGGTGAACTCAGTTTCCAGGCAAGTTATTCATTTACTTTCCAGCAGTCCAATTCTTAGAGCATTATGGATTTTACATTAGTATTGAAGAGCCACAGTTTGGTTTTGAGAGAAATCTTATTAGATGCCCACAATGATTTTAGTTGTCCAAATGCATTCAAGCATTCACATCAGCATCTGTTCCTTCATTCTTGTCAAGTATATTTCCCGGATATGTAAACTGTCCAACAACGTCTACTTCTTGTCCATTTACTTGTAGCTGTGTCTGTGACTTTGCATTAATCATCGTCTTGTTGGTATTAACTTTCAGACCAATCCTCTGGGAGTCGATATCATGTGTTGATTTCTGTAGTCAAATTTTATTGTTGAAGGGGTGACTGGCCCCATTGCAGCCTTGTCGTGGTCTCTGTCTGCTGGTTTGTCAAGGCTCTCGCCAGGCCTTCACAGCAAACGTAGCGGTTACGGGACCACAGACCTCACTATTCCTTGGTATAGAATAGCCCAAGAGTTAGCTGTGGGTGGTTTATATTAACTGCCTTCTGTCTAGTCTATCACTTAAAAATGAGAAACGGCTAGCAAGTAGCTTTGCGCGAAATTAAACAAAACAATTCATTTTAAGTAATTGTTTATAAAGGTTTATTCTGAACCAAAACTCGCATGGCCGCCTGATCAGTGATCTGCAATTGCAGTTTAAAAAAAATTTGAGGAGAAACGTCATGTATGTTTTGATAACCTAGACTCGCAGAGAGAAAATGTTATCGTTAACAAATTATAAATATCTTTAATGCTAAAATATATAGAAAAAAATTACTTGCCCGTAGCAAGATATTTTACAATAGAAAAAAAAACGTTTCACACCTTCATTGCTCAGCTATAAAGCGAAAAACGTATAAGTATGCCTACCATAGCAACAAAATCTCGTGAACTATCGAGATCTTGTTGATTTGTGCTCAAGCGACAGAAAAGGATGACAAGATGGCGTTAATATTGAAAGCGAAGACGATCTGTTCTTCAAAAACCATTTCTGGTTTTTATCCATTAATAGCTCGGTAAAAAATATTACATTTTTAAACATTAAATGCAATTTTTACGATTATTTAGTAAAGTTGGTTATATTTGTATTTCCTTTACGCAGTTAAAACTTCAAACTGAGCTGTTGAGCGAGTGCAAATATTGTCAAGTAAATCCTAACTTAGTGTGTAGGCTATTACTACTAAGTATATACGAATAGGCATAAAAAATAAAAACTTAAAAGTTGTAAAATGTTAAACATAAAACATAGTATCAAGTCTTAATAGATATTATTAGTCTTGTATTTGAATGCCTCTTAGTACAGAGATTCTAAAGTCGATGCTTATTTGTAGTAAAAGATTATCTTTTATTCAGTACATATTAATTAATTCAAGTAATATTTATGATTTAGGCCTTTTGTATTATCATGTAGTACTAATATTAGTAATAGTAATAAATAAACTAAAACTTCAATAAAAGTCTGCAGTTAGAAGACTAGAACTTTAAGCCTTAAATCATACGCAAAGAAATAAATATAAAGTTAAGAATACACTAAAGTTAATAAGTTTTAAGTTAGAGGAGTGTAGTTATGCAAGTTAATAGTCAATAAACATAATATAAATCATTGAAAATATGTTATGTAAGCTAGAGATTGACGTTAATTGTCGATGTTTGCTAAGTACTCTATTTCTAAAACCAAAAATTTTGGAATACTTATAAATGAAATTCAGAAAATTAAGAGTATGAAAAACAAGCATGAGAGAAAGTTTAAAACTACGAACTAACATAGTGAATATTGTTGTTAGTGTAAATATCGTTGCAGGAGTTGTCGGGTGGTAACTCCCCAATTTGAAGTAATCTTTGGTTCTTACTCTTATGTTTATACATTACACATAGCTTCAGAATCCTACAGATTAACATTTAGTGCATAGACAACTTCCTTCTAAACAATACAAAAGAAATACATCTTACCTTACATATATTTTTTTTTCATAAGTGTTCTTTACAATAATGTAAAAACATAATAGTTTTTAGTATAAAAGTAAACAATAACTGAAGTAACAAAAAGTTAATGTTTCAGAGTAAAATTCATGGTAAACATCTGTACTTTATATTATCAGCCATATCTACAGATTTAAACAATAAAATTATATAAGTGTTAACCAGCAAGTTTTTGGACACTAGTTGCACTATCACAGAAAAAACTTTCCAGGCTTATCTGGTTAAATGCTTAATATATATCTTTGTTAATTATTTATAACATTGATTAGTGAGTTTATATTTCCTTAATTTTTCATTTATTTCCAATTTTTTACTCTTTCCTTTTTTTGTTGTTGTTAGGATTTCCTCAAGGTTTTTGTTATATTGACCTTTGCTTTCTGGAGAGTGTTAACATGTAATTCATCTCAAACTATAACAACTGAAGGCCATTTATTTTAAAAAGCTACAAATAATTTTTTGAAGTATTGTATAGTGATTTGTTAGTGAAGTGACTCGACTGAACACATTCATATTGAAAATTTAATCTGTCATCACCTGAAACCATTGCTTGATAAATAAAACACTGAAGTCTGCTCTTATCATTCAAGTATTTATCAATACTTCCCATAAAATCCCTTAATTAACTGCATCTACCATATGTGAAGGCTATCCATTCCAAAGGTCAAACACTGTTAGAAAACTAAAGCTGTGTTAACTCAAGATAAGTCCTACCGTGCCAAAATTTATATTTGTTTCTTCCAAATTCCTACTGTTCTCCCCATTAAGTACAAAGGAAGATGATGCATCAACACTATCAATTACATTAGCTATCCTAAAATCTCAACCAGATCCTCTTTAACTCTTCCTTTTTTCAAGAGAAAACAATTTTAGAAATCTTAATCTGTCCTCAGTGACAAACTTTTCATTCCAGTTATCATCCTCGTAGCCCTTCTCTGAACCTTTTCCAATAATTCAATGTTCTTTCTAAGGAGATGCACCCAAAGCTTGACATAATACTCCAAATGTGGCCTTTACAATGAAATTATAACCTCTTTTGACTTGTATTCAGTACTTTTGTAGATACAACCTAACATTTTATTTGCCCTACCACTAACAACAGCTCAATGCTTGAAGGGCTTAAGAAACTAATTAACTAGAACACCAAGATTTTTTTTTTTCATAAAACTATTAACTCATCTATATTTAATAGTCAGAGAGCTAACCATATAGGTTTATTGTTAACTGCTAATAAAGATTTTGTAAGAGTTGAAGGGAGGGAAATTAGGAAAGAGTGATCATTGAATAATTAGATTTGATGTTTTGCTACATATAAAGATAAAACAATTTTATTTCCTAACTTTCAGAAACTCAATTTTGAGGCAATGAGACAAGATTTATTGATGATGAATGTGGACAATGAGTTAAAAAACGTTATGGGACAGCTATGATAACTTAATTTAATCCAAGATAGGCATGATTCTAAAAAAGGGTAAAAATAGTAGGTGAGATCAAATCTAAGTAGCTCTCTAAAGACATAAATGGAAAAAATCAAGGATAAATACCATCAGTTTAAGAAATTTAAATTCATGGATAGGATGGAAGATTTACAGGACTATATGAAACCTAGGGATTTGGATGAAAAAAAAAATTAAATACAAAAGGACATACAAGAAACAACTGGCTGATAATGTTAAAACTAATAGCAAAGAAAGGTAATTTAAATATGGAATGGGCCCTCAAAGAATAATGATGGCAAGAGTTTTGTTGTATTGTTGTAGACTGTATGATAGCTGAACTTTTAAATATTTTTTTGTGTTTTTACAAGAGAAATGTTTGCAATATTCTTAATTATGAGTAACAGGTAAATTACAAAAGAGCTTTTGTGACCTTTCTGCCCCAAGTGTAAGTGGTCTTTACATCTTTTGATAAGGTTCTACAAAAAAAGATTTGCCAAGAAATTATAAACCTGTGAAAATTGGGGAAAGACTGTTAATTTTGATTATAGGATGGTTGGATGAGAGAAAGCAAAAGGTTGTTATTAATGGATTTTGATCAAACTAGATTCATGTTACTAGTTAAGTGCCTCAGGGATCAGTGTTTGGACCTTTGCTTTTTCTTAGTTACATTAATGATATTTTGAAGATGATGAAATATTACAGAATGACTAGAATCAAATATTTGGCAAATGACTACTAATTATAGTAAATACAAGGTAATACATTGGGATGATCATAATTTGGGTCAATGTAGATGGGAACTCACTCAATAATATGATTAATGAAAATGATTTTTGCATAACAATGAACAAGTCACATAAGCCATCACAGCAATGCTGTGTTGCTTGTAGTAAAGCTAATAGGATTTTAGGGTGTGTCTACATATATTGATTGTAAGTGAAAGGAGATATTTATTTCTGCAAATAATTAATTAGACTTCACATGAAATGCCTAGTGTTTTTTTGTTTTTTTTTCCGTGTACAGTAATCTTCATGAACACCAGCATTTGAACATGCACTCATTGTTTCCTTGGCACTGCTTATCTTCAGACTTGTTTTTTCACAAGATTTATTGGAATTTTGCACTTATTAAAACCATTTCTTACTATTTGTCATTTAGTCTTTCTTTTGTTAATTTTCTTGATTATATGAAAGAACAGAACTAAATTCGGTATTAGTTAGAACTTTCATTTGAATTCTCTTGAATTTGATTTTCTTTTAATCAACTTTGTACTTTTGGTACACATGTCGCATTGTCTGTTTCCATTGTTTCATTCAACAAAGTCAGCATTAGGTGCTATTTACTACTGCCATACCTGGCTCATTTTCTTTCTAGCTAACAAAAAATAAAAATAAGTAGAGACTCCATCTTCTATGTATTTTACAAAAAAGACCACCACAACATCAATTTTATGGATTCACTGGATTATGCATTTATGTTTCCATATTTCTGACATACCCCAAGATTTTTAACATTCCTTTGCAGAAGTCATCCAATACTGTAATGGGGACTGGAGCCACTCTGAATGTCAGTGATATTACCACCTTTATGCATTATATGGTTTGTTTCATTCTGCTCTCGGATCCAGGATTCCCAGTCTCTTGGTTCTCTTACTTCAACAGAACCTACTGTTTTTGCTATGCCTGCTTTTGCTTCTCATTCTCTCTTAACAATGTGGATCAGGTAGTCCTACTTTCATTCTTTACTGCTAAAATTCCACAGGTGTCTGTCTTTTATTTCTTCTTTCTCCATTAATGTTTTTCTGAATTTGGAGGTCCCTTGTTGCATGAGCATCATTCACCTGAATCTTTATTTTAGTTTAGGAATCACCTCTTTTTCATTCCTTTTTCTTTCTGTCTATCTATTTGTCTTCATCTCTTACTCAACTCCATTGTTCATTCTCATGTTTAATTTTCATTTGGAGACTTTCTAGCATGACTCTATCAGCTTTACTTAAAAAATATGCCAATACTCGTTTATCACCTTGCTCTTGCTTTTCTTCAATTTTGCCCCATTTACCTTGGTTTCTTTGTTCTTTGCGTGTATTATGTCAGGTTGCTTACTTTATGGTTTTCACCTCCATCAATATCATCTCCATGACCTCAGTCTAATTGTACCCTATCTTTGTTTGTTTGTTGTTGTTTTTTTTGGGTGGGGGATTTCTTATGAATTGGCTCCTTGAGCTGGTGCAGCTCTTCAGTAATCATCTCTGTTCACTTGATTTCTTTCTTTTGGGATCAGAGGGCCCCACTATATGTCTCATTATATATAGCCTCATGGGGTCTCCCCCTCTTCTGTTCCTTGTCCTGTTGTAAATATCCATGGTCTGCATTCTTCGAGTGTTGGCTGTCACAAGTCTTGGGGGTAACTTGTTTGTGGATCCACCCCTCAATTCTGGTCATGTGGAAGCTCTGTTCTCCTTCTTTGTCCACTCACTGCCTATTGAATTCCATAGGTTCTTTCTTTTTTCCTGTATTTCCACTTTCCACCTCATCTGTTTTAAATGCCATTGAACAATTCCTCAACCCTACTCTGGAGCTTTGCACCCATCTTTCTTCATT